AACCAAATTCAATCCAGGAGCTCTGCCAGCCTGAAGATGTGTTTTAGAATAATCAAGATGTTTCAGATCATTGATTCGTTATTTGAAGTTGAAATAAAGATCAGGGTGCGTCATGAATTGGATCCTAAAAAGTGTCAATGCTTAACTTCAGTGCTCACGACTGAGAAGTTAAAAAAAATCGTTCGCTCTTTTTTATACCAAGATTGAGCAAGGAGTAAGCCGCGGAAATACCAACATTGAAAAAATTGATTAGATTGGCTCTCTTTTGTACTGAATAGAAAAAAATTATCTAAATAAGCCACTGAATGATCTTGATCATACGTTGTTAGGATACACTTTCGGCAATTCACTAATTCAGCTGCAAATTCAAAAGCAAATAAGGCAACAATATTTGAAAACCTGAATCTCGTCAATCATAAGCGATACTAATGTTGGCACGTACACACCACCGTATGACTCTCCGCTGACGTAGAAATCTCGGTTTATGTATTCGGGATACACGGTTAAAAAGTCCATCACAGCCAAGAAGTTGTCCCGAGCCGTCTGAAAAAGAAAAAGAAAATAATCGATTCATGCAGTGTGAATGACGAAATTACCCCAAAGAATTCAACTGTTTTGAATTCACCGATGAATTTGATGATTTCGGTATACAACAATGTGACATTTCCCGAAAATTTGGGCTGCAATGTTGTTTTGAGAGTGACCAATGAATGTGAAAGTGATAGGATGAAAATGAAGGTGATGATAACAACAAACCAGTTCATCATTATACTTGCTTTCTTGATTTTCAGACATGTTTTGGTACGAAAAACCGACATTTCTTGGGGACTCAAGAAATAGGACGTTGGCGAACTGAAAATGAAAATTTGATTTGTATTTACCCGACTAAACTGAGTGACTGAAGCAACCGAAAATCCCTTCATATCGTAATTAATACAATCGAATAAAAATTTGGGGTGTTCTTGATCAAAATCGAATTTTGTATATAATTAGGTTCTAGTGCAATCAGTGGCATCAATGTGGAGTATATGGACCTTATTCCATGAGAAAGCGTTCTCGGTGAACGTTGCACCATCTGGATTTATCCAATACGGACCCAACTCAGACAATAAACCACCTAAAGAACTGCATCCAGGACCACCATTGAGCCACAGCACCAATGGATCGGTTAGAGGATTTCTTTGTGATTCAGTAAACCTGAATGTTATAGTCGTTCAATATTATTTGAAATGTGCGAATTAGCTCACAGTTGCTGATCGCCGTATTCCGTTCGATTCACGATGAGTTCTGTTTGCAAACAAGAAAAATTGTTTTAACGATATTGAGATGGCAACCTGCGAATCTCATAGAGTATATTATAAGGCCAATTGCAAATCAGCTTCTTCTGAGGTTTAAGCCTACGCATGAAACTAATGACGAGTTTACTCCGAGCAGGTGAGCATAACATGAAACCATTTATACAGTGCATCAAAGCGAATAGTTGTTATTTTGCGTGGAAAGCATTAGAAGGATTTCGACAACTAGAGTGAAGGTTTCTGCTACAAGGATAATGAATCGTACCAGTAATGAAGATAATTCCCTGTGGTTGCTCTCAAATAACCCGAATA